GTGAGAAGCGCAAGCGCCTGATCATCTCCAAATATGGGGTTGCTTACCCCGGAGAGCGCTCACCTTCAGGATGGGGGGGGGCAGAAGCCAGCGCCATTTTCAAGGTGCAGCTCCACGCAGCTCTCCACACCAAATCATGACAGAGACTTATTATTAGATATGAATGCTCACCTTAGCTTATGATCATTTCTGACTAGCTTTTTTTTCTGTAACTTACATTAACCTGTTTCTCTTTTTTTAAAAAATATTTATTTATTTATTATGTATACAACATTCTGCCTCCATGTATACCCACATGCCAGAAGAGGGGGCCAGATCTCACTACAGATAGCTGTGAGCCACCATGTGGTTGCTGGGAATTGAACTCAGGACCTCTGGAAGAGCAGCCAGTGCTCTTAACCACTGAGCCATCTCTCTAGCCCTAACCTGTTTCTCTTTATCTATGTTTTGCCTCAGGGATCTTTATCTTTCTTTCTATATGTCCTACTGTGTGTCTACTGGCTAGCAGCTGCCTGGGTGGCCCTAGGTATATCCCTCTGTTCTTTTCCCTCAAACCTAGATTTCTCCTCCTACTTATTCTCTCTGCCCACCAGCCCCACCCATCCTTCTTCTGCCTAGCTATTGACTGTTCAGCTCTTTATAGACCAATCAGGTACCTTAGGCAGGCAAGGTGCAACAGCACATCTTTTCATAATCAAACAAATACAGCAAAAAGCATTGTAACTCACCTTTGTATAGTAATATTCTGCAGGATAAACAAATGTAACACACCTTCACATAGTTAAAGTAATATTCTGCAGTATACGCCAATGTAACACATCTTGGACTATTAAATATTAAAGTACTATTCCACAACAGAGGGTGTGAGAGCAGGAGAGCTGGCCCTGCTCCTTGTTGTCGGCTACATTGGGTGAGCTAGCTGGAACGTGCTGGAGAGCTTCCCCAGGTGGTGAGGAGGAGGAAAAGCTGGCAGGCTGACCAACCCAGATACCACCCAGGACCACAAATACAAGGTAGCCCACACCAACACCCACTTCATCCATAAACTAACTGTCAGAGCATGTGAAGGGGCTGGACCTGCAGATACAAAGTCACAGGATCTCCACTACACAAGGCAACAATAGGAAATCCAAGAGGAGTACCAGTGAGGGCCCATTAGCCAGGGTGTGGCAGAAGCCAGAGGCCTCAAACCAGGCCAATGACTCACTGCAAGGAACACTTACAAGTAAAGATGTGTGGACTGAGGGTATTCTGTGTGACTCACTGGGCCACAGTACAGCTTCCACCATGAGATTTTTTTTTTTAAATGTGTTTTTATTTGGGGTTCTGTTTATTTCATTTTGATTTTGGGTTTTGGGTTTTACTTTTAAGTTTTGTTTTGGAGGGAGGTTGGAAGGGCAAAAGAAGGAAGTTGACAGGACCAGAAGAAGAGTGGGATCGGGATGCATGATGTGAAATCTACAAAGAATCAATAAAAAGTGAAAACAAAGAGCAAAACGAACCATGGAGCTGAAGTCAGATTAAAGACAGGAAGTGACTGCTTGATGTTTCCCACTTCCTTCTAGGATCATGGAAATGTTGGGGCGTTAGATCATGACATCATAGATATCATAGATAGTATATACATTGGCGAGAGCATCCTTGTTGTAGGAGGCCACTTGTTTGTTCCCGGCTGCTCAGCCCCGAAATAATCACACAGAACCCATATTATTTGCAATACTGTTTGGCCGATAGCTTAAGCGTATTTCTGGATAACTCATATCTTAAATTAACCCATCTCCATTAATCTGTGTATCACCACGAGGCAGAGGCTTACCCGGTAAAGTTCCCACGTCTGTCTCTGGCAGGGCTACATGGCTTCTCACTTGACTCTGCCTTCTTTCCCCCAGCATTCAGTTTAGTTTTCCCCACCTAGCTCTACTCTACCTTACAAGTCAGTTTCTTTATTAATCAAAGGTATTCACAACATTCAGAGGGGAATCCCACATCTCATGTTTACTGCCACCAAATTGGATGTTTTTAAGTGCTTCAAATAATAAATTTTGTAGCGTGTTCATACTACAGGCAAAATAATTTGAGCTAGGCATGGTAACACACACATTCAATTCCAGCACTAGGGAAGCAGAGCAAGGTGAATCTCTGTGAGTTGGAGCCAGCCTGGCCTGTAGTGGGTGCCAGGGTTGCTTTGGTTATACAGTGAAACATGATATTCTGTAATTAAAAAATAAGCAATCATTTTGGTAGCAATATGCTTATCCATACACGCCTTTGTAACTTGATTGAATTATCTATGCCAGACTTTTTCATTTATAAATTAATTCTCTACACACTAGAAATTTTTAGAGACCCAAAAATAGAAACTATTTAGCAAAACATTTTTTTATTGAATGGGAATAAGTAATGGCCCTAATTCAAGTAGCACAAAACACCAAATCCATTTCTTAGCTTAATAATTGAAGATGATCACAGATATTTATGGTTAAACATCTAAAAGACCATAGCTCTCAGAAGTGTAAAATACTTAATGTTCCATCTTGAAAAATCAATAAACTTTCAGCTTCACAAAGAACTGCTGGTCTGAGAATTAGTCAGCATTATCCAGAAATATAAAGATTTGTTCAACAAAATAAATGCTGAGTGCTCAGACAATGTCAAATGCTACTACTGTAAGAGCTGGGAATGTGAAAGTAGTCAAAGCAAGGCTGCTGTCCTGGAGGCTCTCATGAACAAAACAGAAGCCATAAACGTCTTTATACATCGCAATTTTATGTACGCCAATAACATCACCCAGGATGAATGAGCATCCACAGTTAGTGGTGAGTAAGGTAAATAGCTTATCTTTGTCATCTCCCTAAGTGCTATTTAAAGCAAAGCATCAGGAAGGATCATGACATCACCCAATTGACTTAAAATAACAATGGCTAAGAAGCATCATTCTGGATATTTGAGCTAGTAACCACTACTAAGCTCAATTTTATGTCTCCTCAGTTAATCAGAAGAATGCATAAATGTCTCCTATTAGACTGTCCCCATTAAGAATATAAGCATTTGAGTCACAAAACCCAGTGCCATGCACTAGAGATGATTCAGAGTAACCATGCCCTTCTGTGTAGCTATCATCTGACTGGGTAGACAAAATGATCATCAGAAGTATATGAGAACAATTATAAAATGATATACATCGAACCACATGTAAATTGATAAAGCACAAACCAACCTATGGGAATGTAAAATATGAACAGCTCATAACCAGAACACTTGCAAAGCAGCAACTGAGTGTAGTGGTTGCTGAGGAATTTTTGGACTCAGGCTTGATGACAGAGATTATATTTTTTCAGATACTTTTGCCCTAATGATCTTACTAGATCATAGTCTAAGACTGTTACTTCAAAGTCACATCTATCCAGAGATGTTTCTCAAAATTACCACAGGAATGTCACCAAATTATACATACCATATGAAGATATGTAAATTGGAAACTCTAGTATTGGACTCTGGGTGCTCATACTTTAAAGTTTCCCAGTTTATTTCATACATTCTCCTGGGTAAGCAGCTCTGCCTTAAATCATGCTGCAGGAGGAAAACATTGATTACATAATTCAAGAACATTTCCCAGAACTGAAGGACATAAATTTCCAGAGTAAAAGAGTTTGCCAAAAGCCTGGCCTAATTGATGAAAATAGATCCACAGCAAGACACAGCATGATGAAATGGCCCAATGCTGAGAACAAAGAGAAAAAGAACCAGTGAACTCTGAAGAGACTTATTTTCAAAGTCATATAGAAGGAAGCATGGAAGTTGGGTGGTCTCTGACCTCTCAACAACACTGGAAGCAAGGAGATAAAGGAAAAATGGCCTCTAAAGCAGAAGAAAAGATTTCCAACCTAGAGTTTTATACCCAGCCAAACTATTTGTCAAGTTTGAAGGTAGGATAAACAGTATCTTCAATATGCAGTGTCAGAAAAATGTAACTTTCCACCAATCTTTCTTCAGGAAGAGGACCCAGCGGATAAAGGGCACTTGCCACTAAGATTGAAGACTCAAGTTTGAGCCCCAGGATGCACAGCTTTAAAGAAAGAAATGACTCCAAAGAGTCATCCTCTGACCTCTGCTTATATCCTGTAGCATGCATGCACACATGCACGCGCACACGTGCTCATTCTCTCTCTCTCTCTCTCTCTCTCTCTCTCTCTCTCTCTCTCTTTCTCACACACATGTAACATGAAAAGGCCAGGCCTGCTTGTTTGTGTTTTCTGTCCCGCCTGGTACCTCACAGTCAGCAAGTCCCAGAGAAAATCAACCACACAGAGATCTCTATAAGTTATAAAGCTGATTGCCCCATTAGGTCTAGCCTCTTACTGGCTAACTCTCACATCTTGATTAACCCATTTTTCTGATCTATTTTAGTCATGTGGCTCAGTACCTTTTTCAGTGGGGCAGATCACATCCTGCTGCTTCGGTGATCTGGGCAGGAGTGGGAGGAATCAGTTTCCTCCTTCCCAGAATTCTCCTGCTCTCCTTGCATCATTTCCACTTCCTGTATGGTTTTCCTGCCTACACCTCCTGCTTGGCCAATCAGCGTTTATTTAAAACATGATTGACAGAATACAGACAATTCTCCGGCATCACACACACACACACACACACACACACACACACACACACACACGGAGGGGGAGGGTTGGGAGGAAGGAAGGGAGCAAAAGAGAGAATAAAAATATGAGGAAAGAATAACACAAAAATGAGATGTCAAATGACAAATGAGATGTCAGATACATCTGGCGAAGGATCCATTACAGGAGAGAGCAAGGGAGCCCCCATGATGGATGATAAAGGGTGACAAAGGCAGAGAGCTGTGTTCGAAGGCCAAAGGGGGGCCTGGGAGGATGGCTCAGCAGGTAAAGGTGCTTGACGTCAAACCTAACAGCCTGAGCTCAATCACTTGGGGTCCACATAGTGGAAGGAGAGAACCATCCTCTGACCTTCACACATTCCCTGTA